GTCGAGGGAGGTGATTCTCCCCCTCTGCTCCTCTCTGTTGAGATGCCACCTGCAGTGCTGCGTCCAGCTCTTGAGTCCTTAGCACAGGAAAGATGTGGACTTGCTGGAGTGAGTCCAGAGGAGGGCCACAAAAATGATGAGAGGACTGGAGCACCTCTCCTGTGAGGACAGGCTGAGAGAGCTGGGGTTGTTCAGCCTGAAAAGAAGGCTCTGAGGAGACCTCACTGTGGCCTTTCAGTACTTAAAGGGGGCCTATCAGAAAGATGGGGGCAATCTTTTTAGCAGGGCTTGTTGCAGTAGGACAAGGGGTAATGGTTTTAAACTAAAAGAAGGCAGATTTAGACTAAACATAAGGAAGAAATTTTTTACACTGAGGGTGGTGAAACACTGGAACAGGTTGCCCAGAGAGGTTTTAGAAGCCCTATCCCTGGAATCATTCAAGGTCAGGTTGGACGGGGCTCTGAGCAACCTGCTGTAGCTAAAGATGTCCCTATTCACTGCACGGGGGTTGGACTAGATGGCCTTTGAAGGTCCCTTCCAACCTGAACTACTCTGTGATTCTATGAAGTGAGAAAACTCGTGGGTTGAGATAAAGACGGTTTAATTGGTAAAGCAAAACTTGCACTCATGAAGCAAAACAAGAAATTCATTCATCAGTCCCCATCAGCAGGCAGGTGTTCAGCCATCTCCAGGAAAGCAGGTCTCCATTGCGTTTAACGGTTACTTGGGAAGACAAATTTCATCGTTCTAAATGTCCCCCCCTTCCTCCTCCTTCCCACAGCTTTTACTGCTGAACACAACGTCATACAGTATGGGACATCCCTCTAGTCAGTTGGGGTCAGCTGTCCCAGCTGTGTCCCCTCCCAACTCCTTGTGCACCCCCAGCCTGCTCGCTGGTGGGGTGGGGTGAGAAGCAGAAAAGGCCTTGAGGCTGTGTGAGCCCTGCTCAGCAGTGACTGAAACATCCCTGTGTTTTCAGCGCTGTTTTCAGCCCAAATCCAAACCGCAGCCCCATACTAGCTACTATGAAGAAAATGAGCTCTATCCTGCCCCAAACCGGTACAGCTGTATAACAGTATTTCAAAGGAACACTGTCGCTGCAATTTTTGGTTGTCTCCCTCCAGTAGACAGGAAAGTCAGTGGTGTGAATGCACAGCACAGAAGAGTGGAGCTGGTGAAATCAGAAGAGTGGCTTTAAATAACTGCTGTAGTAAAAGAAAGAGGGATGCATGCGGTTGTTTGGTAGGGAGGAATAGCAGATGATTTCTGTTTGTAGAGAAAACTCAGAATGGATTTGGGTCATTTTTGGGTACATCTGCGTTACTGATTATTGGATAGATCTTCAGATCCAAAACTTCCTCCTCAATACTTGGAGCGTATCACTTGCTACATGCATCAGAGATGTGCAGGAAGCTCATAAATGCTGAGACTTACTGAGCAATTTGTCAGCCTAGATCAATGGTAGCTGGCTGTGGTGAAGATCAGTGTGCCTCTCAGCTGCAGTCAAATAATTTGGGTTTAGTCCTTACAAGCAAGCACTAGTCTCTTTCTAAAGAGTAGGCTATGCAGCATCTCTTGCAGAGCCCTCAGACCCAGGTGTAGTTTGATGTGCTTTTAGAGAGAATGGGTACATCTGCAAGCTGTAGGCAATAGGTACGTAGTTTAAAATAAAATTTTTTTTAAAAAAAGAGAATTGAAAAGGCAGATGGTGATTCATGGTTGTCAGATTTATGATAGAAAAGTAGATAAGAATAAGCACATGTAATTATAAGTAGCTGTTTGAAGCTTATTGAAACCATTTTTAAAATACTCAAGTGATACGTATTATCTGCAGAGCTTATAAAATCGTGCTGTTGTGAACTAGAGGAAATTACTGGCTTAATGTTTTGAATAAGTGCTTGTATGAAGTGTTAAACCAGCTTCTGACAGCACAAGTCCTTTTTGGATGGAGAGAACATTTTCAGCTGATTCACTTTGATTCAGTTTCCTATCTATTTTTTAAGTTGAGAAATTAATGGGTGGCAGTTTAAAACTGGAAGGTTTGCTCTCAGCTTTCTAATCTGAGGAAAAAATAACATGTGGAAGGCAGAGATCTGGGTTTCTTTATGATTAAATTATTTAGATTTCGGAGCTAATCAATCTGTTAGGCAGTACTTCCTAGGAAGTTTTAGATACAAAACCTTTCATATCTTAACCATTCCTCAGTTAATTAAACCTGATTTTAAATTTATTTTTTCTTCATTTTAATTGAATTTCTTTTACTATTTGAAACAATTCACTACAGGTTGTAATTATTTACTTATGTCTTACTGGAAATATAAAATGGAGAGTGACATCAGAAACTAAGAAGTTGAACTAAAAGCTTATCAGTATGTGAGCAATGAACCTTAGCTGGGAAAACTTAATGGAAACACTTGCCAGTGTATTTTAATGAAAAAAAGAGAAATGCTCTGTTCTCCTAGTAACAGTACAAATGTAATAGATAAGTTTAAATGAAAGCTTACTGACTTTAAATGAAAACTTACTGATTTTTAAATTATAATAAAATGGGCAATATAAAACAACTTACCTTGTCTCTTAGCATTGTGTTCAGTGAGGGGAAAAACTGCACTGATCATGCTGTACTGCAAAGCGTAATTCCATATGAGCCCCTGCCTCCTGCAACGTCCTTTTAGCAAGGCAGCCTGCCCCCCAATTTCAGAGGTTTTAAAACAAAAAAGCTAATTGATGCTCTACCTAGACAGTTAAAATTGCAAATAAATTCTCAAGTTACAAATTGATTACTTTGTTTTACAATGGTAAATAATACATTTCCAGCTTTCTTTAGTTTGATACAAATTGGAGGGTCAATAAAACAAATAATTTCATTTGAAATCTGAAACACTACTTAGATTTACAGTCCAGAATTGATCCTTGACATGAATCAAACATTAATATTTGTGGACTAAGTGGTTTAATAGTAGTAATTAAAAAATTTCAAAGAAGTGTCTCCAAAAAGCAAAATAAAATATAGATTCTTTTATCAGAGGAATTATTAAGTAAAGGTAATTAAAAAAATATTTTAAGAAAAAACACTTATCTTAGGAAAAACAAGGAAAGAAAGTGTAATTTGTAGTTGAAATAGAAATCAGTGGTCAGCCAAGGGACTTGATTTTAGTTCTGAAATGACATATGAAAAATTCACATTCCCCTAACAAACAAATGACATCCTTATACTAGAGGTGAATTGTGTCAGATGACTCAAGGTGCACCATAGACTTTACCAGACCTATAAGACTTCTTACTGCTCCCAGAAGATAAATACTCATCTTGTCCATGAAATACCTTTAAGAGAAGGACTGAAATGCTCAGTTTGATCCCCAAATCCTGTGGGAAGACAAGTTTTTGAAGACATTTGTTTTAACATTAGCTGCATCAGGAAGACATTCCATATGCAGCTTTTTGAACCAGTTGGGATTTCTTAGACAAGGGTAAACTAGTTGGAATTTTCTAGACAACCTGATCTCCTTGTTTTCAGATAATTAACTATAATGTCCAGCAGAGTGGTAGTAAAGGTATGAATAGTAGAGGTTAGAAGATCATTAGTAGGGAAGGAGATGAAATTTCCGAATCAAATGGAGATTATAGTGTTCTTTGTTTTCTAGTTCATTGAATTACACCGGTGAGATAATTGCCTGACTGTACTTGTTTTATATGCTCTTCTTAATTTGTTTCTTACATCTATGCTAGGTTTTTCTTTTGCTACCTACAATGTTACAATTTCCTGGCCTTTTTTCCTTCTCTCAATTTTTAAGTTGTTAAGTTGCTGCTTGTTTTACAGTTTGTAGGAGTTCCTGCCACTGGAACTGACTGCAGTTCTTGTCCAGGGCCAAACAGTCTTTCGGTAGAGGCTTTGTTTCTTTTTAAGTAATTGGAAAAAGCCGCTTGCATTTTCTGCTCCAGATCAGAAGTTCTCCTTTTGTCTTTCAAGATCTGATCTGCTAAATTGTAACAGTTGCTGGGGATTTTTTCCCCACAGGAAGTATAGTGCTGTCAGTGTCTTAAGTTTAAAATTATTTTTTTTCTTTTACAGACTGAGACAACTATAGGCCTCAGTTCATTTCAACAGAAAAGGTAAGCCTGATTTTCTAAAAGTTTAATGCAGCGAGATTTGTGATCTTTTTCGTAAGAATAATAAAATTTTAGTGTAAACAACATCAAATACATTTCATGTAATTTTTCAACTATTTGTCTCTAAACTAAAATGTAAACCAATTTTTAATATTGGACAGCTAGATCACATGTGGAATGAGAAATGGAAGAATCCTTTAATTCACTTTGTAATGTAGACCACAGAGAAGTAAAAAGCAGGTAAACTGAAACTCTGCTTGTAGATTATTTTATCATTTTACTGAAGTTTTATTGAGAAAGGAGTGGGTTTGATTACCTGCTTCAAAACTTCTTGGGGTCCTTTTGAAGAAAAACTTTATGTTGTTACTGTGAATAAATTCTTCCCCATCCCTTCGTCCATCCATTGCATTCTCTTTGCGACAAGTTTTGAAAAATGTGGCAGGTGTTTCCGTCCAGGTGAAATTAAAACATAAATTCACATTATCTTTATTGTGATAACGTAAAAGAGAAGACTTAATAATATGTACTGAAATAAGGCAGTTACTTCGTATTTTGATCTGAAGCTTGAGGCAATTTGTGTATTGTGGTAATGTGAATTTTGTCAAACTTGTGTTTGTCGTGGTTTAGGCCCAGCTGACAACAAAGCGCCATGTGGCCATTTGCTCACTCCTCCCCTACGGTGGGATGGGGAGCAAAAAACATAATGAAAGGCTTTGGGTCGAGATAAGGACAGGGAGGGATCACTGAGCAATTATGGTCACAGGCAAAACAGACTGAACTTGGCAGGGGGGATTCAATTTAATTTATTACCAATCTAATCAGAGTAGGATAATGAGAAATAAAAACCAAATCTTAAAACATCACCTCCCTCCTGCACCCTTCTTCCCAGGCTTAACTTCACTCCTAGGTTCTCTACCTCTTCTCCCTGAGCAGTGCAGGGGGACAGGAATAGGGGTTGCAGTCAGTTCATCACATATTGTCTCTGCCACTCCTTCCTCCTAGGGAGGAGGGCTCCTCACACTCTTCCCCTGCTCCAGTGTGAGGTCCCTCCCACAGGAGGCAGTCTTCCACAAACTTCTCCAATATGAGTCCTTCCCATGGGCTGCAGTTCTTCATGAACTGCTCCAGCGTGGGTCCCTTCCATGGGGTGCAGTCCTTCAGGAACAGACTGCTCCAGCGTGGCTTCCCTCAGGGTCACAGCCTTCTTTGGGTGCAGCCACCTGCTCTGGTATGGGGTCCTCCGCAGGCTGCAGGAGGAGCATCTGCTCCACTGCTGTCTCCATGGGCTGCAGGGGGTCAGCCACCCTGGGCCGAGTGCGCGCCACTGCCACCGTTGCTGATTGGCTCGGCCTTGGCCAGAGGAGGGTCCAACTTGGAGCCCAGGAAGCTTCTAGCAGCTTCTCACAAGAGCCACCCCTGTACCCCCTCCCCCTACTACCAGAACCCTGCCACACAAGCCCAATGCAGTGTTATACAAACTTCTTATTTGCTTTTTAAATTAAGAAGTTTAGCTTGGTCATTCTGCATAACACTTGAAACTCGTGGTGCTGTACCTTCCCTGAATCTCTCTTTGTTCCCTTTCCCCAGCAGTGGAGGCTCCTCTCTCTCCTTCATGACTTCTGACCATTTATTTCTTATCTCCGAAGTCCCTCAAATTAAACTTTCCACATGGTGCTTTTACTAAACTACTTGTTTCCTACTTGCCTGTTAACATTGGATTTAAGCAAGCAGAATGTGAATTTCACTAAACTACTCCTGTAAATAATCACTTCCAAAGCTGTATTCAGTACTGATTTCTCTGTTAACTATTTATACTACATACACACCTCCGTGTATGTAAGTGTACTGTGATAGGAGAATGAATTACCACACATGAAGTTACCATGTAGTTAAGTGTTAACTTGAATTTGGTTTTCCTGGTTGCCGTAATCATACGAATCATAATATTTTGGTCAAGATAAAGTAAAAATAGTTTTGTAAAGATCAAATTAAAATGATGCACTTTAAATAATTTGTTTACTAGGGGTTTTCCCCATTTTGCTATCTTAAACTGTGTGTTTGAAGCCCTGCACTCATTACCCTATAGTAGACTGAGACTTTGCACAGCAGTAAAAGAAACTCTTAAATTTCATTATTGAGCTTCTCTTATATGTTAAAAGATAAATAAGATGATACTTAATGCTTCTGGAAGAACACGATCAAATCAAATAGGTTACAGGGCAGTGTAACTAGTATAAACTTCCATTACCATCAGCCAAGTAGCTTAAGCTAAGTGATCATTGTGTTCTTCCCTGTCACGGTTTGTAGTATTAAATCAGCCGGACTTCTGGTCATTCATAACTCGTACCAACATGAGTGGTTTAAGGTGCTCGTACCCCAGTTGTTGTTTACCTGTCCTTCCTGCCAAGGATTCTCCCTCCGGTGACAGAGAAAGTGAATATGTGTGCCTGTGGCTCAGCCGCTGCAGTTCATGGTCCAGTGACTTATTTTACCCTGCCAGACATGATGGGTTTGTACGTGGATTGTGAACTGGAGCTGTTGTGCTGTGGGTACTTTTTGCATTCTTCCACGAGCTGTTAGGGGATTGCGAAATGGTGGAGGACACAGCTGTGGACTTAAACAGCTGTATCTATTTGCTGCCGTATGTTAGTCAGATTGCAAGTAGGAAAACATGAATTTAGGAATGACAATTGGACTTCTGAGAACCATGATTAGTGTATTTTATATCTTGGGTAGAGTCGTACTTAGGGAGATGGTTTAAATGGAATAGGATCTTGTTTAAATCATTAAGTCTCAATGCCAGAAAGAAGGTGCCTTTATTGTGACCTAGGGAGTATGTGCAATTTTTTTGTCTCCCAGGAAACAACTGAATTTGGTCCTTGAGAATGAGACTGAGGCCATGATTAGCTATGCTTCCAGGATTTTTTATCTTTTATCAAAGATTGCTTTCTGTGCTTGAAATTGCAGTGTTGTAATAAAACACCAGTTTACAGATTTGAAAAATCTCCGAGTTTGCCAGGAGAAATAGTCTATTCCACTTCAGAGCACTGGCCTATTTGGGGTTCAGTCACAGTGTGATAAAGATCTGCATTGCAAACTCTTTGATGCCATATTGCAAAGTAGCTTTCCAATTTGCTGGCTGGCTGTTTCTCTCTGTATCTCTGTCATTATTGGTTTTACATGGATTTTTCTTGCAAGTATTTTTTTCAGGTGATTTTTTTGTTTTTTTTTAATGGCGTTGCTTAAAACTAGGTTTCTGGTCCACATGCTTAGCTTCTCTAGATGACTTGTCTTTCATTGTCTTTGCTAGAGATTATAAAATCTCCTTCTTGGTATAGCTTGCAGATATTTCTTCCCTATCTAGACAGTTTATTCAGTTCTTTGATCTGCTTTTTAACACTAATTGGAAGGAGGGAAATGAACTAGCCATTTAATTTGTTTTGTTCTTGCCCGTGGTCAGGTTACAGTGCATCTATTCAAGCCTCACCCTGTTCTTTCCCCACCCTTTCCCCAGACAACCCCCTCAGGAAGTGTTAGCTTTGAAGTTTAATGTCTAGTATCATGAGTGTGTTTTCCTGATACAAGGTTAATGTTGGCATAACTGAGCCAATCACTAGCTGGGTGTAGCTTATGAAAAACTTCTGTTGCTAGTCTTTTGATTCATCTGCACTTAGAGCAATGGCTACTGCCAGACATTGAAGTGGTCAAATGTTTTGTAGGCGTTCAGTTGCTCACCAAGGCTTTAATACCCGTATTTCTAAAACAATTTTAACTATAAAAATTTTAATACATTTTCTGATATATGCAGCTCAGCCATATTTTTAAATATTAACAAGTCATGGATGCAGTCAGGGAAGTATGATTGGTTATGTTTTTAGCCAAAAATGTTCTGTCTTTGAGGTAGCTCTTTCAAGGACGTACTGACATAAAAAGTACCCACTGTGAGGTATTTGTAATTTTAAAAATTCATGTGATTATTTTTGGACACACTTTCATTTTATTTTGTTGTAATAAAAATAGGAAAGTAGTGGCTTTCTAAGAGTTTGTGTCGCTAAATAAAATAATGAGATCTCTTGCTGTTTGATAGTTTGATGCCATTGTCTTTATTTCTTAACAATTTATGGCACGGGACAGGAAATAAAACCCTTTAAACAACTGGTAAAGTAATGTGGGAAAAAATACATGTAGAGCTTAGATTTGAATTTTCCACAGTAGCAATTAAAGATGGTACAGATAAGATTCCACATAGCACAGACCTCCTCCAGAAATCGCAGAACAGCTAGAAAGGTAAAGTGAGGACATGGAGAAACACTTACTGCCCAAATTTGAAGAAATCTTTAAATACTATATTTAACAAGCATTTTCTTCATCTCCAAATGTGGAGACGTTCACAGGTTATTTAAAATTACAAGTGCCTAGTACTGTGTGATAAACAGCAAAACGTTATAGAAGTGCTGCAGAATGTCCTTAGACAGAAGAAAATAGTTTCTCAGTGCAGATGGACATCCATATCACCTACAGGCTTTCCAGGCAATGATGTTTTGACCGTCTTTATAACTGCATCTGTGACTAACCTTATTGAGACATGAAGTTGCACTTCAGTGAATTGCATCTGGTAGGAGGCTGCTTCTGGGTAGTAGCAGTACAGTAGTTAGTATTGAGGTAAATGCCCTCTCACTTGGGTGACAGAGTGGATGGTGTGGTGATGGTGATGATCATGTCAGGGACTGTGTGTATTTCATTCAAGTCTCATTTCTAAAATTAAAATTCTTGCAGAAGGGAAAAAGTGTTGGGACCGTCTTAAACCATTGCCAGGGACTAGTCATTCCTGAAACTTCATAGGTTCAGATGACTTCTGGCCAGTTCTTGATGTGCTGGAGCTTCTTGGCAGATGTTGGTAGTCCTCTCGCATTCAGATGCATCTTTACCTTTTCGTGGTTTTCTTGAC